CTATAAGCCTGGTCATGTGCCTAATCACTTACATACATAATATAAAAAGTGAGCGAAAGCCTAGTGAACAATAACAGAGTAAGGGGTTTTAATGAATGATGTTTATACCAGATTCAGAAATCATAATTCATATTCATAAACAGATTCATATTATTGTTCAAATCATATACAGAATCAGAGTTCATGCTTAATCATACGTGATACATCCATTAGCGCTAATAGAGCAGATACAGAACAGATGCAGAACATATAGTGGTTATGAGTAACCAGTTCTATAAAGGAACCTCCGGATCTGGGTAACAGATGACTGATATGCTGAGCTCCATGATGGAGCCTCCGGTATGGGTAATAGAGTGCAAACATGATAAGTTCCATAATGAAACCTCCGATACTAGGTAACAACTAACAAATATCACATGATGCTAAAGATGCCACGAATACATTGTCAGAAATTGGACAACCATTCATTGTACGGAACATAGCATTTCAGAAAACAGATCTTATTTTATCATATAGAAAATAAATAAAGTTGAACATAGCTTTACTAAGTTATTACTCACAGATGGCTTCGGGTACAGATAGACAGAGCAGACTAATCAAATGGTTTATGGCACGTGACCTATATCGACATATAACAAATACACATTTGAAACATACGTTGGAATATATATAACTCATTATGTTTCGTTCTTAGTGTGTTTCCACATTTTACCCTCATTACTATGTCTTAATCTTAGTTTAGGAATGCCTAGGATATAATGAGGATACTAAAATGCATTGGAAAACACATGGTCAAATTTCTGAAAACAGGGTCCCCGTCCGAGTAGACATGCAATGTGTGAGCGGATGCTCAAGCGCAAATTCCCATGCTCGAGCATTCTGCAAATTTTGAAAAGTACTAGTTATGCGATTTTTATGCTCAACGGACGCTCAAGCGTGAGACTCAGGTCCCCGTTCGAGCGTAACTCTTGATGCTCGAGCGGTCTGCAAAAATATGAAACTTCTAGGAGTATGTATTTCACACTCGAGCGAGCTTCTGGTAGCTCAAGAGGAGATAGAAAAACAAAAGTGGCCGCTCGAGCGCGAAATCTCACACTTGAGCGGAAATGTAGAATCTGGAATTTCCAAATTGCATTACCAAGCTCCAAAACTCGAATTTCACACCTCAAAACTCATTTTCTTGGACCAAAATTCTGGAAAATATCTAAGAACTTATAAAACATCATGGTTTGAAGTTCATTTCATGAAATCAAGGCCCAAAAGTAAGTCAATTGTGCAAAAATTCAACTTGAAATGTAAGAACATGCTATAAACATGACATGCATGTATTCATTTGAACCCATAGCTTCCAAAACATGATCAACTAAGATAATTTGATGGAAAACATGATGAAATTACAAGACTATGGTAGTATATGCATGTAAAAATCTTTAACCATTAGACTCAAAATAGAAGTAATTATGCATGCATGCATGGTATGAGTTACAATTATCAAATTTTAGCTTGATTCTCATGCTTAATCTTCTAATTTTCTTTAATTCTTACACCAAGTAATTCAAAATTCATAATTAAGGAGTTGAATTTTCTACCTTAAGCCTTGAGTTAGCAAGTGTTGGAGCTAAACTCCCTCAATTCTCTTCAATCACCCATTTTTCCTTCTTAATTCTCTTCCTCCTTTAATGTTGGCTTCAGTCTCTCTCTCTCTCCTTCCACACATTTGAGCTCAAAATGAATGAGAAAAAGGGGAGTCTTGGGCTTGGTAGTGGCCTTATATAGGCTAATTAGTGAAGCTTCATGAATTCTTGCTTGGACTAATCGTTTGGAATTATTTTATTCTAATTTAATCGTTCCGAATCAAATTTCAATAAAACCTATCACAAAATTCTATAAATCCCAAATAACACATAAATCAAGTCAATTTCTAAATCGGATGCCGATAAGGCCTTCATTTTGTAAACCGAAAACAGAAACATGAACAGATCTTTCTACGTTAAACAGATATAAACACAAATAAGGTAACATATGATGCAAATTTCACTTTAATTACTCATTAGGCATAATTAAACATGAATTAACGTTAATCATGGGTTGTGGTTATTACACCATAGATCTTGATAAAATTGTAGAAAAAAATTTCAGAGAGTCTGTAACTTATTCTTTCAAGTTTGATTTTTTCCATGATATCTTCAATCCTATCGAAGTTCTTGGCTAGAGCGAGCATTTTGACGATCACAATGTAGAGAGCTTAATTGGGTCGATAGTTTTTGCGGTTTGAGAGTTGGGTTAAGAGAGTGTTGAATTCAGATTTTTGAGAGTTTGGAAGAGCTTGAGAACCTCATTGAGGCTTAACCAACCTTTGTTGTTGAGAATAGTGGGATTATTAGAATCTGGAGATGATCCAGATGAAGAAGTAAAGTGACAATAATAGAAAAATTAAGATTTAATTTTTTTAATTCAAAATGTGAGATTTTTTTTTATTCTTAAAAGAATGTGTACAGAGAATTTTTCTATTTAATATTATGGGTGTTGTTAGATGTCTATTATGGTCATTTTTACTTAGGATATAATTGTCATTAAATTAATATTTCATGAAGTGTGTGCCTTGAGCTAGTCAGGTGTGTGGAAATAGAATTTCCGCCATTTTCTCTCTCACAAAAAAAATGAAAAAGGCTAAAAAATCAAAAAAAAAATTAAAAAATTAACTTTTAACCATTTTCTCAAAACACTCTTGAGTGACCTACCTGATGATCTGCTAACGACCATTGATAATTGAATAATTATTTATTTAAGGCAAATTACATATACCCCTGTCGAGGTTTAGCAAAATTACAGATACCCCATGAGATTTGAGAAATTATAGATACCCCCTAAAGGTTATATTTGCATAACAAATTATAGGGCAAATTGTTATGAAAATATAAACCTTAAGAGGTATCTGTAATTTTCGAAACCTCAGAAAGGTATCTGTAATTTAGCTAAATCTCGAGAGAGGTATATGTAATTTGCCTTTTATTTATTGAAGGGCCAATGATGTCAACCAATCTCGTACCCACTTAAGAAGTCATATTTTTTTACAAAAAAAAAAAATTGTCTTTAGTGATTTGCTTTTAAATTTTGCCAATATTTTTTTAACTTTGAGGTCCGACTTAATAGGCAAATCTAAAAAATAAAAATAAAAATTTAAAAATAAATAAGTAAGTAAAAAAAAAAAAGTTAACTATTTTATATTTTTTTGTGTTTTCTAGAATTTGTTTCAATTTTTTTTAAAAAAAATATTTACTTTTCCGGTTTGTTTAATCGAGTCGAATCCAAAACTTTGAAACTTTTTGAAATTTAAAAGAGCGAAAAAGTAATTAAAAAAAATCATAAAAAAAAGGTAAATAAAATAAAATTTAACTTATAAGTTAGGGGAAATGCCTGTTGGTGTTTCCAGGTGTTGCCAGACACAATTGCAGGGGAAGTTCATGCATAATATCAGGTGCTGGTCTTTAAATTTTTTTTTTTTTTTTACACTTTAATCATATAGAGTAGTAAAAGTAGGTTCTGTAAATATTTAATAATGAACCCCTCTGTCGATAAAAAATAATAATAATAATAATAAAATGAAAAAAAAAAATTTGTGCAGCACTACTCTATGACTGAAATAATGAGCAACTTCCCCCTCCCCCCGAAAAAAAAAAAAAAAAAAAAAAAAAAATTTTAGTCAATTAGCCAAAAAGTTACTAAATTAGTCAAAAAGCCAACAACCCATACCAAAAAGTCAAAAATTTTCTTTTCTCTCTACTTTTTGCACATCTTTTCGTAATTAGCCAAAAAATCATCCCAAACATACAAGTTTTTTTTACCTACCTTTTTAGCCAAATAGTCAAAAAGTTACTAAATTAGCCAGTTCCCAAACGAGGCCTTAGAATTAATAATTTTTGGACACTTTTCATCCTACTAAAGTGTACACGCAAAAACATTGATAGAAATTTGAATAAAACGATCAAATTAAAATTGGACTTAAAATGTAAAGATAATTTTTTTTTAATTTAAAACAATAAAAATTAAAGTGAAATTTTGTAAAAAAAATATAATTTATCCTTAAATAATTAAGGGAAATTTAATAATAAATCCCCTTATATAGTTATTAATTCATTTATATATAGTTATTTATTTGGCATTTAAAAGTAACAAACACTGATAGGGATTTACATGTAGGTTGGTCCTAATAAGTGAACTTATTATCCAATAAGTCCTGTGAGAATTAATGACATTTTTCATTAAACATTATTAAAAAACGTCAGTTTAAAAATTGTCACAAAAAATGTCACTAATTATAAGTTTTAGCGACAGTTTAAAAAAATCGTCACAAAAAAAAAACATTACTAATTTTCAACTTTCAACGACAATTTGAAAAATTCATCACAGAAAAACGTCACTTATTGTAAGTTTTAGCGGCAATTTATTAAAATCGTGACAAACAAAAAGTCACTAATTGTCAATTTTTAGCGATATATGCAAAAAATTGTCACAAAAAATTATTTTTAACCACAATTTTATTAGGACTTATTTTTAATAGGATTTGATGGGAATTAAATCAAACTATTATTGATAGTTTACCCTTTTAATTTAGGGGTATGCCAAACACTAAACAATCTAATTGGCTTGAAAAAAAAAAAAAAAAAACAACTACTTGAGTTACAAGTTACATACACTTAAATGCTACTTTACTTTGCTGGAGTATTATATTAGCAATCTCCAAAAATTTCTGACCTAGCATAGCCCAAACTCTATACCATGACTGGAATAGGAAATATCATTTTAGATCTCCATGATCCCATTATTTAGAACAAATTAAAATATGGAATAATTATTTAATCCAGTATTATTACCATAATAATAAATTAATAATGATGTTGGCCGTGACATCAACCCCTCGTCAAAATGACACAACTAATGACGCAGTTAGCCTATTAATTATAATTATTAGATTAATCACTCTGCACTATAAATAGAGAAAGGCCTTCTTTCTCTTCCTTTATCTATCCACTGTCTAACTTTGAAATCACAAAACAAAACTTCTACAGAGAGAAAGAGAATACTTCCAATGGCAACCAAAGTCTATATTGTGTATGCATTACTCTCTCTCTCTCTCTCTACACACACACACACACACACACACACACTTGTATTGCATTGTATTTGTGTTTTTTTTTGGTAGTTCTCTGCCTTGATTATTGCTCTGTTTTCTTGGTTTGGTTCTATTGCATTTCAAGATAAATTGATCATATGGGTTTGTGAGCTTTGAACTTATCTATCTGAACTTTGTGTTTACTTGATATGTTTGATATCCAAATTTGTTGGTTTGATAATTAAGATTTCAGTGTCATTGCTGTAGATTCTATCATCATTCCTCACTATATATATGTATGAGATGAGTTACAAGTGTGTAGGTACATACCTAAATTTGATTGGCTCCAGCTCTTTTCATTTTGTCTTCTGTTATATATGATATGCAATTGATGATTAATTGATATTTGATATGAACACAAGGGTTGGCGTAGTGGGTGTAGCTTGGGGCCTGGAGCTGGGCGCTCTTGAGATTTTAGGTTCAATTTCTACTAGGTGCTATCATCTCTTTGGGATCATGCTTGTGGACTCTGCACGAGATTTGCCTGATTCATATAGAGGGACACTTTGCTTGGGTTCAGAATTAGTCAAGATGCACGTAAATTGGCCCAGACACCCGGTTATAAAAAAAAAAAAATTTGATATTTGATACGCATAATTTATAATTATCTTTTTTTTTTTTTTGGAAGGGTTGTGTAGTGGAAATGACTAGTGTGAACAATTCTGAAATAATTTAGGAAGTTTGGCTCTGAATTTGTTCGTCTTGGTTTTGTAATGTTTTAACTAACAGAGGAGTTACATGTAAACAATCCCTTTTTGACAAATTTGTTTGTCATTTGTTAAATGTGGTTTTGTATTTTCTTTTCCTTTCTATTGGTAGCTCTAAAAATGGAATTTCTAACTTAATTTATTACCTTAGAATTATTATTAGTATTACTTTCATAATTAGGTACATTGAGACTGTGACCCGAGGAATGTCAAGACTCAAACTTTAACGTCCTAGTGAAGTGCGGTCGTACAAGAATTCTTGTAAACTGGATTAGTTTCAGTTGGTTAAAAAATTTCAAGTCTTCGAGATAAATGACCGAAAATTTTTGAAATAAATTTCTATCATTTTGGATGTATAATAAAAGGAAACTCAACATGTTGGATCTTTAGAAACTAGAAGAGAGAGAAGAAATGGAAACCAGAATATTGGTTCAGAAGAGAGAGAAGCTGTGCTTAATGCCTTGGACCCAATATATGTGGTACCTATTGCCCAATTAGTTTGTTTCCATGACAAATCTCTTTCTTTTTCCCTGGAAAGTGGGTCTGAAATATGCACGTCTTTTATAGTGATGCTGAAATATACATGCGCTTTATGCCATCTCCTATTTCATGAACATGGGTTATCAACATTATGCTATACCTCATGCTAATCTTCCTATCAATAATCATAGTAAAACTAAATCAATTGTAGCTTTATTTCGAAATAAAAGATTTTAATAGGATATTGCGTAAATTAATTGTTTTCAATCATTGATTTGATTGGTTTCGCTATTATTTGTTTCTTACTTTTGGGTTAACAAACACATTTTATCATTGATGCAGTTACTACTCGATGTACGGACATGTTAAAAAACTAGCAGAAGAGATAAAAAAAGGAGCTGCTTCTGTTGAAGGAGTGGAGGCTAAACTATGGCAGGTCTGTGCTTTTCTTTGCATTCATCCCCTAACTTAGTCAACTATGTTTTTTTTAAAAAAAATTATTTTTTAATGACTGTTAGAGAAAATATTTCGTAGTTTGAATAGAGATTATGGACCATTTCTCAATTTGTGCATGTCATCGTTGCATTTGTGGCCATGCTAATCTTCTCTATATGCTAATGTTCACAAATTCTTAAACTTTTGCTGTCAAAATTTTTCGGTGGTGTGTTATTATGTTGTGGAAAAAAAGTTTAGAACAATGTTGACTATCTATATTGGTGGCCAAACTGAATAGGTCCCCGAAACACTGCCTGATGAGGTTCTTGGAAAGATGTATGCACCACCGAAGGGTGATGTGCCAGTCATTACAGCCGATGAGCTTGTTGAGGCAGACGGGTTCATTTTTGGTTTCCCAACTAGATTTGGAATGATGGCTGCTCAATTCAAAGCATTTTTGGATTCAACCGGAGGTCTATGGAAAACTCAACAGCTTGCTGGAAAGCCTGCAGGCATATTCTATAGCACGGGGTCTCAAGGAGGTGGTCAAGAGACTACAGCGTAAGTTCCATTCTTGTAGTGAAATTTCATATTCTCGTTCATCGTATAATTTGACATTCAAAAATGATAGTTGCACATAATTAAAACACAAAAAGTATAATGTGTGACTGAGATTTATTTATGTGGGCCATACTTAAATTAAGTCTAAACCACACAATGTACTTTCTATATATTTTTTTGTATTTTAATTCTGTGCATGTGGTGCTATTGTTTGAAACTAGAAATGAAAAACGCCTTATATATGAACTTGCTTAAACCACACAGATTAACAGCAATTACTCAGCTTGTTCACCATGGAATGATCTTTGTGCCTATTGGCTACACGTTTGGAGCCGGCATGTTTGAGATGGAGAAGGTGAAGGGTGGCAGCCCCTATGGTGCAGGAACATATGCTGGGGATGGCACGAGACAGCCTTCAGAGCTTGAACTAGAGCAAGCTTTCCACCAAGGGAAGTACATTGCTGGAATTGCTAAGAAACTCAAGGGATCTGATTGATTTTTTGGTCGCCATAATCGCACTTCTAGGCATTCCATACTTGCAATTTTTCTTTGAAATTTCATTTCAGTTCAGTCTCAAATGTCAAATTATGCTTATTATAATTAGTATCTTAGTTTGTGTTGTACCTTGTTTCTTTATGTAGTGGTTTGTACTAATGACAAAGTATGCTAACACTTTGTGTCTGTTATTGTTGATTTTGAATTTCTCTTTGTATCAGAGTGTTCATTACACAACAGAAATGTTCTTGTTGTCCATTCATTTCCAGGCATTTGTTCTCGATTGTTTCTCTATATAAATATTTTAAGAGGCAATTACAACCCAAAAAAAAAAAAAAGTTGAGGTTTTAGCCTTGTAACAAAATAAACCCTCAATTTTTAATTTTTAATTTTATAAATTTAAAGCCTAATATTTTGATTTATTTTTAATTTAAAGCATTCACCGATTTTCATTAAGTAAAATCAATAGAAAAAGAGTACTTTAATTGTTAAACTCAATGTAAATATATATATATATATATATATGATTTCTAAAATATCATTTTCATTAAGTTTAATGACTAAAAGACTCTTTTTCCTATCGATTTTACTTATGAAAATAAGCAAATTATTTAGATTGAAAACAAATCAAAAGTTTTGGATTTAAATTGATGAAATTAAATACTCATAATTTATTTTGTTATAATGTTTAAACTTTATTTTTTTTAATTAATTTTTTATTTTTTGTGTTATTGTTGTTGTTGTTGTTGTTGTAATTTTCCCATATTTTAATTATCCAATTGCAATTTAAAAGCTTCCACAAATGCTGTTTAGATATGAGAAAATAGAATTCTATTGAGATGAATCACACATTGATACTCATTGTAAAGTTTCTTTAAAAAGCTTGTTTGGTTGTGTTTTGTTTTTTATTTTTATTTTTGAAAAACAAGAAATTTATTTTTTAAACTGTTTTGAAACTTATTTTGAAAAATTTTTGTGGAAACACACGAAAAAAAAAAAAAAAAAAAAATCTTACAAAAATGAACACGATGAGTGTTTTTAAAAATTTCATTGTAACTTTTTATATTAAAAAAATACAACCCAACATGCGAGAGTGGACTTTGTTCCAATAGTGCAAAACATAGTGCAATAAATGCAGGCACCATCTTCATATTGGAAAAAAGTAATCTACAATTTTTTAGAATATATATGTTGGGTGGTACATTTTATCTATTTTAGATTTACATAGGAATTATGAAATGGCTTCTAGAAGTGTGACATACATATATCTAGAATATTTCCGGTTAAAATAGGTAACCGAATCTTAGTTACTTGAAACGAATCGTGATCTCGATAGGAGAGAAGAATGAATTTTTAGCCGACGTATGGTATGGACAAACGATGTAGGTTCCATCACCTTAGGTTACTGAGGTAATAGAACCTAAGGGGCAATTGTGAGGAAGTGTTTTGTGAATGATTGTTCGTGGCTAAAGGGGGAACTCAGCTAGAGAGTATCGGCAAAATAGATTAAGCCCAACAACCTGTAACAAGAAGATGAGAATATTGCGGTGCTTCACCACCTAGGGGCACTGTGATGATCAAGTCAATAATCTCTCAAAGATATTAATTCAAGTATTTAACTCACAAATCACTGCTCACAGTATATCACACATACCTGGGACCCATTGGGGTGTCCTGTTTTTATAACCAACAGTGACCCGATCCCTTTAGAAACCTCACTTCAGTGGACTCAGGCTCAATGCTCATCTTGAACCCTCAGCTGGATAGGGATAAACTCCCTTTGAGTTTTATCCTTATCCAAATTGAGATCCTCCCATGTTCTAGGTTTATTGTCCCTTATGCATTTATCTCAGATTCCGGTATCTCTGTAGATAACCTCGGCCTAGCCGAGATCATCTTGGAAAATATAACCAGGCCACGTGATACCTTAGCTGACACTTTAGCTACGTGTTATCATTCACAAAACACTTCCCCACAACTACCCCATAGGTTCTATTACCTCGGCAATCTAAGGTGGTGGTACCTACATCGTTTGTCCGTACCATATGTCGACAAAAATCTCATTCTTCTCTCTGACCGAGATCATGATTCATCGGCTTCAAGTAACTAAGATTCAGTTGCCCATTTTATTAGGAATCAAGAACCAATTCTCAAGTTCTTTACACATCTCGACCGAGATCGCACCTCTGATCGAGGTCACAACCCCTTTACTCTAGATTTCAAGAATCACGTACATACTCTTCGTGTACATGAGCTGTCATGCTTCATTGTTCCAACCGTTTCTTCCACGTATCGCGTTATCACCCGTCCGTACCTAGCACGCACCATCAAGTCACATTGATTTTGGCCATGCCGCCTAACAGGCACGTCGCCTAAGGCAAACTCATTATGGTTGATCAAATTCACAGCAAGTGTTGTAATGCTATCCTTGAGAGACTCACTAAGCTGAAAACCCAAAAGGGTGACCTAGGCAAAAGTGAGAGCATGAAAAATGAGAAATCAAATAAATAGAGCTCGTAAAATTGAAAATCCCGAAGGGGCGACTTTGGTAAAAGTTAGAGCACAAAAGGAGAGTGTCACCTGAGTGAACCTTACCAATGAACTACGTTGACTTGATTCCCATTCTTGGGATACATAGGCAACTTCATCCTAAAGTTTGGTCTCAACCATACCCATTTCATCCATCTTGACCCAATAAACTTGCTCAATTCACGTCGTCAGCTTCGCATCAATCTATGAGCCACACCGACTACTACACATACTTGCTTTGGGCAAGAAGGAACTAGCTTGAATCAACAAATGGAGCAATTTTCTATACTTGAACTTATTGGTAAAATCTCTAACTTGAGCAAAAAAAAGGACTCAAAATTGATTTCTAACGGGAACATAAGTAATACTAGGGGCACTATAAATGATCAGTTACCTTGAGTCTTGTTCTGCTTTTGGGTCAGTTGTGAGTTTTGTTGTGTCATGTTTGGTGTTTGTCTCAGTTTACGCTTTTCATTGAGTCACCATAATGTGTCTGTTGTTCAAAAGCGCTCTTAATTGAGTCACAATAACGTGTTTGTCGCTCAAAAGCACTTTTCATCGAGTTACCATAGCGTGTCTGTCGCTCAAGATCAACAGAGTGGCACGGTCACAATTCCATGCACAAATGTTCGCTCTGAACTCAAAAACAAGTCCATGTGTGGAATTCATAAACAAACTGAGAGTGCCCATACAAGCGGCATCGCATTCATGATCATTGCAAAGTGTATATGAGGGATCCATCACTACATTGGAGGGGGCTGGAGTAAATTCTCAACATCTCGTGAAAGAAGAGAAGCACGGGTTTGATTGGTTGGCACCTGTTCCAGGATCTAATGATCCCCATCACACGTGCCTGCATAATGTTGAAAAACGTGGCCAGTGATTGGACACTATGGGCAATTTTGAGTACATCTGATCGAGCCATCCATCGAACAAGGGGCATGAACCCAACCGATGGCCAGTGATTGGACACTAGGGGCAATTTTCAGTATATCTGATCGGACCATCAATTGAACAAGGGGCATGAACCCAACCTTTCTCTCAATCTGCTCCAAGCCATTCGTTGGGCACTTTCCCCTATGATTCAGCTTTCGAAAGTTGTCTCCAACTATTTTCAAAACTCTCTTAGGATTGACATCTTCTCTCTGATTAATACATGTGCTTTGGATTGTGCATGCTTGCTCATACACCCTAGTTGATTTGAACTGCATGATTGGTTGCTCTTGCTCTTGACTTTGTTTTGTACTTAACAAAGTTTCGTTGAGTTACCTTCCGCAGTGTTTTTCAATTACATTTCAATATGTTGTGGCAAGTTGCCTTGCACTCATTTCAGAGACCAAAGTCTAGTTTAAATACTCAGGGGTGTGTCTTCGGCTTAAAATCTGTATGGTAACCCCATAGTGTAGACACCCCATTTTTGACCGTCCTCAAGACTTGGACGTCACCGCTTGGAACGCTTGGTGATTATCCGTGTTTGTGTTCGTTTGGAGTTCCCGGAAGTCTCGGCTCGCGCGCCCTGCCTCAGGATCTCCGAACTTGACCGTTTAGTGTCTGGTTTCACACCGAACACTTATGTTTTGCCTTGGAAGGGCAAGGAAGGCCTTGTAAGGCATCCCCACACACCACCGGCAGTGGCTAGAGGTCACCGGCTGGTCTTCTGTTTTCATCGGCACTATTTGTTGCCGGTCGGCACATTTTATTGCCGGTCGGCATAGTTTGTTGCCGGTCGGCACTCTTTTTTGTCGAAATAACTTTTTTGGGCAGCCGACCACTGTTCATCCACTTTATGGAGATATTTTGTGCCAGCTGTGATAGCTGGCACCAACTCTGCCTCCCTCCATACACGTGTATGGAGGGATCTCCCTCTAAGCAAGCTTGTTGTATAAGCTTTGCAAGAGGGAGTCTTATAAGAGGAAGGGTCTTCCTCTTTGATCTATGTTAGAATTTTGGAACCAAAAACCAGAGCTTTGAGATATAGATACACTCTATCTCTATATCTCCCTCTCTCACCTCCTTTGTGTGTGTTTCCTTGGCCTAAAGGTGGTTTTTACCTTACTTTTGCACCATTACACACACTATTACACCTTACTCCGAGATTGAGGAACTTGGGGGGTTGATTCTTGAGTTTTTGGACTGGTTTTGATCAAAAGAAGAGGGCTAGACCATTTGTTCTTCAAGGGTTCTCCAAGGGTGAGCATCTTGCTTTATATTCCCCAAACTTGCAATAGTTTTTTACCTATTTTGCTTGCTGTTTTAGCTCTTGTGTATAACATAAAAAGGGCTTGTATTTTCATGCTTTAGAACTTTCATTAAGGTCGTTTTGTGGTTTGAGTGCAAACTCACCCTTCTAGGCCTTGTTTGGTCCATTTTGGTGCCTCTTTGGTAAGGCTTTGTTCACTTTAGTGTTTTGGTCCTTTCACCACTAAAAACCAGTTGATTTTCAGTGTTAAAAAATGTGGTTTGAAGTCTTTCATAGGGGAGGGACACCCCTCTCCCTTCATTGTTTTGTTTCCTTGCTTTTTGGGCTTAAAAGGGTAGCATGTGTGCTTGATCATTCTTGGCCTCATTTCAGAAGTTTTTTAGGTGTTTTAGGTCATATGTAACCTCTATTTTTGACCAGATTTGTGCCTCCTTGTATGCTTGTAGTACTTGCTTTGTATTGCTCCATTTTGCTTAGAAGTGCATCTCATGATTAGGCCATGATTCTTGCGTGTGTTGGCTTAGTTCCATAAAGATA